ACCTTCGTGAAAGTGGGGTTTTCAACCCTTTTGTGAATTAGAACAAAGGCCAGAAATAGACTGGGTGTTCAAGATGATAAGATTGGCTTTAACAAAAACTCAACCAAGAATTTCGAGAGTTGTTACAGGGATGCAAGCTCAGTCATCACATTAACAAAATAAAAATTCAATTTTTGTATTTAGATTTCTCGAATAAATGAAATTTTGTTTTTTATTTATTAATGGGTAGGGGGGTCGCGACCTTATGAACAAATCTGTAAAAGGGTCGTGACTAAAAAAAGGTTGGGAACCACTGCTCTAAGGCAATATATAAACGAAAAGAACACTATTTAAGTCTAGCTAAACAGAGTATATTGTTTGGGTGGTTCCCAATAGAAACCGATTGCCGTACCAGCGTAATGTCAATATATATTATTGTGTGTTTATTTTATCGACTTTTTTGGGTGTTTCACTGCTTTAAAGTGGATTTGTTTAAAAATTTATCATTTACATGTTTATACATTTTGTGAAAGTTTCTTATTCAGGATTCAAAATGACTAATAAGTGTGCAGTGTGTCAGAAAAGAGGAAAACCAGCGGAATGTTTATCATTTCACCCGTTAGTAAACAAAGCTTATGACATTGACATGACTGAAGGGGAAAAAAACAGTGTCGGAGGTGTATGTAGGCCACAAAAATACAACATGGTATGCATATTTTAATTTTGTATTTCTATTTAACAGTATTTTTTAGGATTCCGGATAATTTATGATGTGGAAAAAACATGGTTAGGAGCATTAAATTTAAAATCCAGCTGAGTAAGCAAATGGATGTATGTTTGTGCAGACCATTTTAGCAGTGGAGACTAGATTTTCAAAAACTGATGCTAGTAGGTACTAGGTACTAAGTTTAAATCATACATGGCGTCCTTGATGATAACAATAATATCATTCTGATGTAAGTATTCAATGGGTGGTATGAATAAAAACGAAGTAGGTACTTACCTACTACTACTACAAGTATTAGTAGGTATAATCTACGTAGTATTCACTTCAAAAAGAAGGATTTACTCATTTCCGGTAGTTTCGAAATGTAGTATCTACTTTGTTTTAAAGTAAATACTATGGAGAATCTACTAATACCTACTTGTAGTAGTAGCAGATACTCCGTTTTTAATCATACCACCCAATATTCACTTGAAAGTTCAGTGCATTATATTTTCAGTATTTGCATTATTGATCAATTTGCTTTAAGTATATTTTTGTTGTCAGTAGCTACCTGAACTCTTGTAATATTATTATTGATATTCTGAATAAACATTGTTTTTTATGGTACTGTTGTTAAATTATTACAAAGCTACCCTTTTTTGATACAAATCCTCAAAAAAAATTTTAAAAAAATCTATATTAGGTCTGTTTCTGCAGAAATCACAAATCAGTCAGAGTGAATTTCATTGGTTGAAACTAGTTTTCTGACTGTTTTTAACCAATGAAATTCGCTCTGACTGGTTTGTGATTTCTGCAGAAACAGACCTATTGTTTTGGTCCTGTATTTTTTTTTTGGAAACAGTCCAGTTTACATGCTCGAAAAAATGATTTTTTTATGGGTACGCTTATGGGAGCCTTTGCTTCTAATAAAATACCTCTACGTATTTCTTGGGAATACGTAGAGATTCTTAACACATGTTTGTGCCACCTTGCTCTAATGCTTTTAGATAGGAGCTATCTTGTCACTTTAGTAGATATTAAATCTATGGTTGTCGTCAATGACCTATTAACACAGATAGACAGAACATCCCATTGATAAAATAGCTTTGTTTTGGTTGACTACATGTTTATGGGCCAGGGGGGTTGAGCTGTGAGAGCGGCTAGGAGTAGGGATTCAAATGATTCCGCTAACTCCGCCCCCATTTTACTATCACATACTTGGCAACTCTGAAAATTAAACCAGAATCAGTGCTACAAAAGTGTATCTTTATCCTTATATTTTACATAATTTTAGAAAAAGATGCGGATACACTCACTGCGCACTGATTGACAAATGGAAATTGTCATAAAATACCTGCAGGTCTCATTTTGACATGACAATCGAATAGAAGTCACTGATTGGTGGAAAGGTGGAATTCGAGGTGGGATTTATTTTTTTGCAGCGTTGCTAATTTTCATTGAAAAATAATCGCTTTCTACGTGTTAGAGAAAGATACAAAATAACACAAGGATTAATAAGTAGTGGGGAGAGATGCGGTTCCTGGCATGTAGTCAACCGATATTATTGTTTATTGTTCTGTCTATCTGTGTTAATAGGTCATTGGTTGTCGTAGATTTATCCATATGACACATTCAATTTTTTTGACAAATTAAAATGAATGACGTCTGGTTTAAGAACCGGCGAACGTTTTTGACGTCATTGATTTGTTTCAGTCAATTTCTATTTGTTAAACAAGGAAGGCAAATGCTGGTGGCAAGTACAAACCCTGGCGAAACAAACTTTACCTCGTTACATACATAAAAGACAACAGGAATTTATCAAATGGCAAAATGGCGTTTCATTTTGTATCAAATTAAGCAATTTTGCTCTAATTTAACAGATCTTGTATCTCTCACCGTGTCCGAGATCCCAATAGCTAGTCTCAAAAAACGGACACTCTGTATAGGGTGTCCTCTTGGCTGTCCCACTCAAAAAAATAAGACTTTGGTCAATATTTTGAAAACGGGGTTGAATAAAAAAAATAAAACATGAGTCCTTACGTCAATGGATTCTGCTTGAAAAAGTACCTCTATATAGAAAGTTTATACAGAAATCAATTATTTTTATTAAAAAAAAAGTTATGAAGCTTTCATAGTACATATTGCTGAAAATGGAGAAATGCTCTCTAATGGCAAAACCTCAGACAAAATGGTTGAAGAAATCAAAATGTGCTCCAATACCTGTACAAAAAAAAAACAGACCAAGAAACATACTGACCATACTGTATTTCACAAGCCTTTTATTTTCAAATGATAATATTTTTGTGATGCAAGAGCTTGTGCAAGAACTTTATACATTGAATGGTGCATTATTCCCTTGATTATTCCTTATTTTTTCATATTGTTTTGTTTTTTTTAATAGATTTGATGTGTTTATGCGCATGCCTAATTAGAATTACTGTCATACAAGTTAGAAACCTTGTTAATATCTAATTATGACATAAGTACAGAAAAAAAGCGCACTCACAACATTGCAGATGTAATAGTGCGGTGCTATCTTTAGCAAGAGCGATGTTCCTGTGAAAGTAGTTAATAACTATTCAGCTAATAAGGATATTTATCTTCTTAAGGAAACGGAATGTAATTTTTTTATAGATGGTTATTGCCAAATAAATAAAAATTATCGAGAAAATTATATTCATAAAACAAAAATATTGTTGAAAAGCATCAGTATCGCACACCTGCAAAAATGAATCAGGATACTTAAATATCATTTCACTAAATTATAGTATTGCTGCTATTGAGATTGCTATTCAAAAAGCTATCAATAGTTTCCTGTAGCAACAAGTGTAGCAATAAGAAGTTCAAAATGTGAATAAGTTCAGGAAACAGATAAATTATTTGATTTGAAATAAATATTATGTTGAAGATCAATTGAGAGTGTTGAATATTTCAGCAAATATGAAAAACAAGTAGACTGACAGATAATTTATTTTTTTTACTACTAACCTGAGAAGTAGTCATTATTCAATCTATTTTTCTCGGAAAAAATTGAATTTCTCTCCCTAGGTTAATAATGAAAATAATGAAAAAAAACCTAGGTCAATAATGAAAATGACGTCATGACGCAAGGATATTGTCATAACGTTACAGGTTTCTATTGATTTAATTTCAATTTCAAACTGTCAATTTAATCAAAAAAACAGGTTCCTGTATGTATCATAGGAAATTACCATAAATGTTGATAGAGGGCAGCACTTTCAACTAGAAAAAATAATTTGAGCTCAGATTTCAAACTTATTTTTTATTTTCTACTATAGCAGTAGTAAAAAAAATTCTATATATTCCACGGTAGAGAAAGTCATTATATACCTTACGCATTATAAACCTCGGCGCTACGCGTCTCGGTTTATAAAAGCGCTCGGTATATAATGACCAACTTCTCTACCTAGGTATATAATGTACTATTTTTTACTACTAACCTGAGAAGTAGTCATTATTCAATCTATTTTTCTTGGAAAAAATTGAATTTCTCTCCCTAGGTTAATAATGAAAATAAAGACATAGGAAATTACCATAGATGTTGATAGAGGGCAGCACTTCCAACTAGAAAAAATAATTTTAGCACATATTTCAAACTTATTTTTTATTTTCTACTAGTACCAGTAGTAAAAAAAATTCTATATATTCCACGGTAGAGAAAGTCATTATATACCTTACGCATTATAAACCTCGGCGCTACGCGCCTCGGTTTATAAAAGCGCTCGGTATATAATGACCAACTTCTCTACCTAGGTATATAATGTACTATTTCTAGGGTAATAGATACAAATCATTTAATTCTATTATTCAAGTACTTGGGAAGATTTTTTTTTGAATCATTTGCCTATGTATTTTGATCTTGAGTAATGCTATACCTACCACATGTAAACACTGATGACATACACTTAACAAATAAATTGTGGGATTTTCAAGTTCATAGACCTGTTGGTTGTAGTTTATTCTTGTGAAATTATAGCCTACATTAAAAAATATATGATTTTACAGGGTAACTGATTATTGAAAAGGTCATAAAGCTCAAAACTCTATTAATTCAAATAGAAATCCTCATAGAAATCACTGCCAAAAAATTAAAATTTTATATTGAATAGTATTCACACATTATATACTAAATACTAATAATATAGATGTATTATACACGGTGATTTACATAGCCTGTGCACTAAAAATTTTCCAAATTAGTAGAGAAAGCAATAGCATCTAATCCACCTGCTAACTGCATGGCCTATATAAATCACCCTGTATATAATTTATTTATTTATAAGTGAACTCTTACCTGAGAAATTAGGGCTTAAGCTCTTTGGGGCGGTAATTATATCCTTCCAGAGTAGGTAAAACTCTGGAATCCTGGCAACACTTTGTAGCAGTCGCACCAAATCCCGACCAATCACCAAACACTCTTGAAAATGTTCTCGCATTAAACTAATTAAAAAGTTCACTTCTTTTTGTCTTAAAACGGCTAAATAAGGCGCATGATGGTCTTCTATTAACCTCAAATAAGTGTACACAACAGAAGCTATTAAAATTGGAAATTTTTCCAACCAACTTTTGAATTCGATAAAGACATCCAATAGAGACTCGACTAGAGTGAGGTTTTTGTGGCTGACGTCGCCCCCTGCGGCGTGCCTCATCAAGTTCCAGCACAAATTATCCACATTGCTTACATTGTTTTTGATCATTTCTCGTAAAAGCCATACCAGCTGCTGCTTTACAACATCCGTAAAACGTAAATATTTGTCTAGAACTAGTTGCGATAAATTGGTAACGACGTGTCCGAAACCGTCTCTTGTAATAAGCGTAAGGTCCCTATAACTTCTGGCGGCACTATGGGGCTCAGTTAAAATCGACACTAATAATCCAAAAGAGACTTCTTCATAACCTTTATCTTTGAGTAGGGCCTTGTTCAAAGCCTCGTGGGCGTCCTTATCGCTGAGGTCCCCTCGCACGCTCAATAAAAACTGGTGACTTCTCAACAATTTCTGCAAGAAAAAAACAAGTGTGAAAATTCAAAAGTTCAAATTACCCGCCACGGAAATGACATACGAAAATACAAATAAAGGAGGTTATTTGACAGGGCGAGTATCGCAATGGCGGACGGAGCACCATCACTCCCATTTAAACAGGAATTAAATGCATTTACCTCTTCTAAATCGTCTTTATTTTCCACGATCGAGATTGTGAAAAGCCTTGTAGGCCCGCTGGACACCGTTTCCATATTGTGGGCCCTATGCTAACGGCTGAAATGATAAATTCACTGGCGACAAACACGGGAGGGTACTCATCGTCCCATTATTGGAAAATGTTTGTCGAAAAATCAAGCGCGCGTTGATATTTACGTGCCTGGCGTTTCCGGACACGGACGAAGCGGCCGCCGTACATCTTCTCGGCTTGGCAACGTTCGCCCTCTCCGCCAAGTGTGATTCTGTGATTGTACTTCTACACCTTGTACAGGGTATTTGTTTTAATAAATTAATTAAAATTGTTACTAATACTAATTAATTATTATTTGATTTTTTTTTTTTCAATAATTAATATTTTTGATTTTGACAACGACAGCTTTCTGGCAGTGGCAGCGGCAGTACAATTTTGAAAACGTGGAATTTTGCAACTTGCAACTTTTCCTTGAACTTTCCTAAAGTTTATCTAAATAATATTGATGTAGGTATTTATTTTATTCGTGAGTTTATTGTTGCGGTTTTTTTAGAAGTGTCGCTAACTTTTGTGAATATTTATCTATCAAGTACCGTAGAACGGGGATACTTTGTGACAAGGGGGAAACTTGTGACATTGTGAAATTCAAATCAAATTAGCCAATACCTTTTAGATCCCGCGTGCCAAGCCAAATTCTTCTACCGGCAGGTGGAAGCACATACCTCACCCGTTACGTTACAAAGACTGCTTGGCAAGATCGTATTTTTTTTACTCTCCCTTAGCTAGCAGCCTGATTCGAAGGGAGCATCTCGCTTTTGCAACTTTTTCAAAACCCCCAATACTTTCTACTGTACAGGGTGCTGCAATTAGGAGTGTTTTAACAGGAAAAACACACTTCCAGACCAGATAGAGGAAAATTGACTTGGATGTCATGGGATTGATTTTTGATAAACGTCGATTGTTAAAAACCGCATCGCGAGATCTTCAATGGTACCATTAATACAGGCCGATTTTCGATTTTCCCCTATTATGAAAAATGGCTATAAGTTTTTTATTTATCAATTTTTTTTATTTCTGTAAAAACATTATGAAGACACTTTTTTGAACGCAATCCAGTGACGGACTCAGTTTTTTTCTATATCGTTCCGATTTCGAGATATCGACCAAATTCCGATATTTTCAAATGGAACACCCTATATTTTAATAGCTCATTGGATAGCTTTGTTTTTGCTGATTTCAATGATATTGTCAATCCTACATGGCATGGGACCACGGGCTATAACCAAATTCAAAACACTGAACCACGGGTTATAACAAATAACTGAAACTAAGCAAGAAAACACAAATTATCCTAATCATAGTCAGCAAATATTGGATATAAAAGCCCGGGCCACACTATGGCAAATTAGTCGTGTCTCAGCGCTTCGCTGCAATCAGTAGGTGTTTAGAGACGACTCAAAGTTGGGGAACTATCTGGACTGATAAAGTTAATACGCTATCGTATCTCTATCAGGGCAGGTACTCCCTGACGACCCAGGCTTTGACCTACAGTGAAAAGGCTTTCTAGATTTTCCTGTAGGGCTGGTTTGGTTATTTAGCTTTGCAGGGGTATACCCGACGTTTGACTGTCCGCCCTTTTTTGAGCCTCACCACCCGAAGGGACGTTATCTGGTCCCAGATGACGATGATAATGTAATGTGGTAATAACTAAATAGGTATTCATGTTTCCGTAATCTCCGTCCTGTAACAATATATATTAGCTATTTAAAACTGTTCTGGTGTTTCCCTGTTACTCCTCCCTTCCCGTTCTGCTTTTCAGGGTGAATAGTCGAGCTACACAGCGAAGCAGAGACGTTTCGTGACATTTGGTGGAGGTGCCCCCCCCCTGAGAAACCTCGTAACGACGCCCATGATTGCTAGCCTAGATCCACTACCTTCAGTCAAAGTCTGAGCCAATAAGCCTAGGCAACACAGCAGAAGACGTTGTCAGAACACAAGGAGACCACTGACATGAAAGCAAAGCCAGAACATCTACAAGAGTGATCCAGGCAAACAAGCCTTGGAACCACCAAAACCCAGAGAATCACCAACGAAGTAGAAGCAAACCGCAGACACTGTTCTAGTGTTCGAAGCCATGGAAGAATGGACACGCACAAAGAACCAATCACAAAGAAGAAGACGCCCGAAGATGAATAATGTAGTTTTAAGTTTTATTTAAAGTTTTTGTATTTTTTAAAAGTTTTTGAAGCCAGATACGTCCTCGGGCATTGTGGGCATAGGCGGTTCTAGGTGGGGGCTTGGGGGGGCTAAGCCCCCCCAAATCTGGAATTAGCCCCCCCAAATTTAAATTAGTGATGAGTGGCAAAAGTTCGCAGTCCCTGAATAAAAAATATTCAAGCGTTAGGATTAATTAACTACATAATTTCATTAATTTCACTGATTTAATACCTTTATCTAATTATTTCATAAAATTGTATTCAATTACTTCATAATTATCCGAAATCGGGACGTCTGGAAACAGAGGCAACCCTAGCCCCCACCGCTAGGGACAGGGTTGCCTCTGTATTGCCTGTAGGTGTGTCTAATAAGTAGGAGCAGCCAAAGTTTTTTTTTTTTAATCACCTTTATTTGTACCTCAGAAAACTTTTATTTTATGTGAAACAAAACAATCATGTTCCTTGTTGACAAAATTTCTTTTGTAATAATGAAACCGAGAATTAAACTTTTATATTTATTAAAATGTAAAGTTTTTGGGCGTGGCAGCCAAAAAAAAAAAATTTCACCTCCGGCGGGAACTCTGGCAGCGCCTGCGGCGAGCGACCTCGGAGCAGTGGCTTCAGCCCCCCCATTACAGATAGGCTAGAACCGCCTATGATTGTGGGGCCAATGCCTTCATCGGGAGGGGCATGTGTCAACCCTACATGGGACCACGGGCTATAACCAAATTCAAAACACTGAACCACGGGTTATAACAAATAACTGCAACTAAGCAAGAAAACACAAATTATCCTAATCATAGTCAGCAAATATTGGATATAAAAGCCCGGGCCGCACTATGGCAAATTAGTCGTATCTCAGCGCTTCGCTGCAATCAGTAGGTGTTTAGAGACGACTCAAAGTTGGGGAACTATCTGGACTGATAAAGTTAATACGCTATCGTATCTCTATCAGGGCAGGTACTCCCTGACGACCCAGGCTTTGACCTACAGTGAACAGGCTTTCTAGATTTTCCTGTAGGGCTGGTTTGGTTATTTAGCTTTGCAGGGGTATACCCCGACGTTTGACTGTCCGCCCTTTTTTGAGCCTCACCACCCGAAGGGACGTTATCTGGTCCCAGGTGACGATGATGTGGTAATAACTAAATATTCATGTTTCCGTAATCTCCGTCCTGTAACAATATATATTAGCTATTTAAAACTGTTCTGGTGTTTCCCTGTTACTCCTCCCTTCCGGTTCTGCTTTTCAGGGTGAATAGTCGAGCTACACAGCGAAGCAGAGACGTTTTGTGACAATATTAAGTTCGATAGGTTTATCACTAACAGTTTTCGAGAAAAAAAATTATATCTGTTTCAGTCATAAGAAACAATGTGTTAGAAAGAGACCTTCCTCATTCTCCTTACACATATAAAATCCTTTTCTAACACATTGGTCCTTACGACAAAAACAGATATAACTTTTTTGCTCGAAAACTGTTAGGGATAAATCTATCGAACTTTATATCATTAAAAACAAAGCTATCCAATGAGCTATTAATATATAGGGTGTTTCATTTGAAAATATCGGTATTTGGTCGATATCTCGAAATCGGAACGATATAGAAAAAAACTGAGTCCGCCACTGGATTGTGCTCAAAAAAGTGTCTCCATAATGTTTTTACAGAAATAAAAAAAATTGATAAATAAAAAACTTATAGCCATTTTTCATAATAGGGGAAAATCGAAAATCGCCCTGTATTAATGGTACCATTGAAGATATCGTGATACGGTGTTTGACAATTAACGTTTCTCAAAAATCGATCCCATGACGTCTAAGTCAATTTTCCTCTATCTGGTCTGGAAGTATGTTTTTCCTGTTGAAACACTCCACATTGCAGCACCCTGTACATACCTACATCAGAATTTGTACATTCCTCAGAAAAATTTGTACACTGCGAGATTTATTATCGCACTGCTCGCATGGTTTCCTTAACAATAGATCCCCAAAAACAGCTTTATTTAGTCACATTAATGCTATAGCGGAGGCAGTGTCGGACTGGGGGTCATTTGGCCCACCGGGCAAATGGTGAAGTGGCCCACCCAACCCAAACCCCATTCAATAAAAACAATTTCGATAATCATTTGTTGCATCTGGTACCTAGTTGTATCAAGGTTGTATTATAGGCATAAAAAAAGGTGCCTAGGTACTTGACAACGCATGAAAATTAGGAGTAGGTAACATAAAAAAAAAAACAGGATAGATACCATTGCGAGTCATAATACAGTGTATAGTACGAATCCAAAATAATGAAAATTTCTTTGATTTCACTAGGATGTTATTCTAAATTAGAAAAATCTTCAGTTAGGGTTCCACTCGAAAACTTATTTCTGATTCAGATGTGCTATCATCTTGGTTTCGTCTCTGCTTCTCACCCAGTGCTGTCGAACGGCAAAATACTAAATCGGGAGAAACTGGCGTTGAAAATCGGTAGATTACTGCGAAAAATCGGTAGGTATAAGATAGACTAAAATCCAGCGTTGCCGAGTTTAGCATGATTTAATAAATATTACATTATAAATTGAAAAATCATCAGGCACTAGCTGACGTTACACACATAACCTAACTTTCGATGGAGGGGCAAAAAAGCTTTTAAGGACTATTTACTCACATCAATTAGATGCTAGCTATTATGTCACAAATCACATCACGTCACTTTCGATAGGGGGACAAACATGTCAGTGGGAAAAACAAACGATATTCACATTTATTTGCGTATTTACGTAAATAGTCCTTAATAGTTATTTATGTATCAAGGGAATTATGAGGGTGTTAATACCCCAGGACACCAATTGCCCGTAGGTATTAACACCTGATAATTCCCGTGGTACATAGATAATTTTATATCCTACTGAATTTAGGTACTGTATTTTGTCTATTTTTATAAAGTTTACAAA